CCTCTGTGTGTTTCTTTGGGACTGAACAGCTGTGGGACTGGGTGGGACAGAAACTTCCATCTACATTGAGTCATCCTTGTGGTTTCCTGGGAATTTCCCTAGAAACGGGTTTCTCCTTAATTCTGTAATGGCTCCCTCTGTCAAGATATCTCTTCCATTTTTTCCCCATCTGACCCACCCCCAACTCAACCATTCTGATCCCCCATAACCCCTTGCCTCTTATTTCCCCCATGGCCAGTTTATTCAGGACATCACATATATTTCCTCTTCTCAGGGAGATTCATGCATCCACACCCTTTAGGGTACTCCTTGTTACCTAGTTTATCTGAGGCTGAGGATTGTAACCTCATAGAGCAAATTCTTAATGTGTTATTTTGGTTATTATCCATAATTTTAGCTTAATTGCATCATCATGCGTATGACTTGCTGGGTTCTAGTACTCCCTCCTCTTGAAGCTACTCAATAAATATTTTTTATTTCTTTGATTAAATATATATATATATGATGTTTGAAACTACTTGTTCAAATTAAACATTTAAATATCACAAAAAATATATGTGCTAAATATCAAGTCTCTTTGTATGATTGTCACATTTCTCTTCTTGAAGCAGGGACTCTGTCCATTAACTTTCATGCCTTCCAGACATGTATATGTGTCTGTTATGTACAGACATACCAACTCCATCCTGGAAACTTATTCTGGATTCTTTATGTTCCTTCTTAAGCCCATCTTTCTGTTTTCCTATTCACCAACTTAATTTTATTTCTTTTCTCTTGTTTTGTTTTATGGTAACCAACCCCAAATATTGTTTTATTCGCCTCAAGAAATGCATTATTTCAGTTACTCTTATTTTTATATTCAAGAAGAATATATCATTTATGTTTTCAGCTTTGCTTTCTTTCATCTTTTGCTTTTATCGGTATTAGCTAAATTTTTACTATTCATTTATTTGGTGTATGAGTATGTGAGAAAAAGGGAGGGAACTAGGGAGAAAGGAAAGAGAGATTTGGGGTTAGAGGACAATTTGTGGGGAGTTGGTTCCCTCCTCCCACTCTGTGAGTCCCAGGGATGAAACTCAGATAAACAGGAAATCTCTCTGGTCTTTCACTAACTTTTAGAGCATTTGATTCAATGATGGAAAGATGAGATTAATATTAAAAGAATTCCTTTTACAAATGCAGTCATTTTAGTATGACTTCTGCAAGAACTGCTCCTTTTGAGATCTTTAACATATGTGGGAATCAAATTGTGGTTCAACTTCAAAACCATACTGGTGGTGACAGATGCACTAGCTGGTGTTAAAGCTCATGTTCCTATTAGCTGAACAGAAGCCAGTCTGTTAGGAGGCAGACACATTTCTTATTTAGAATAACAATGACTCACACAAATATCAGTGCAGATGGAGTCATGGTCCTGAGATGAAATTAATGGTTCCATGGCTTTGTCTTCATTGCATAACTTATAGCAGGCTCTTTTCTAAATACACATGATGTTAGTATATGTGTGTATACTTACACATACACAAATATACACATACAGAGAGATGGGGTATGGGAAGAGGGAGGGAGGGAGGGAGAGAGAGAGAGAGAGAGACAGAGAGAGAGAGAGAGAGAGAGAGAGAGAGAGAGAGAGAGACAGAGAGAGAGAGAGGCCATAAAAGAGCTACTGCTCAATATTGCCTTTGGTACTTTTCTGGAACTGGAGCATAAACAGAGATCACATGTCTACTTACAGATCAACCAGGTCAACAATGAAACAAATTCTGTTTTTGAGTCTAGGTGTGCATTGTGAATTGATTCAGAATTGCCTGAAGATGACAGGGCAATGGTGAACAGGCAAGAGGAAACTTGGAAAGGCAGAAGTGACTTATGTCCTAGGTCCTGTGAGTTGGGGAAGAGTGAGAGACCTGTACTGGATATACATTACAGACAGGCCTGTGTGGCTTCAACTCCCCAAAATATCATGTAGAATTTGCTACACACTTTCTTACAAAAGGGGTACTGCTTCAGTAAATAACGTCTGAATTGCATCACTGATTCAACAAGACAGGTCTTGCTCCATGGTCCCTATGATGCTCTAGGACAACTGATCAGTCTCAACTTGTTTGCAGGTTTGATTCTTCCCTTCTTGCCATCCCTCCTTTCCTTTCTTCCTTCTTGTTTCCCTTCCTCCTTTCTTTCCTCTCTTTCCTCTCCTCCTCCCTGCATTTTTCTTACGTCCTTCCCTCCCTCCTCCCCTCTCTATCTCCCTTTCTCCTTCCTTCTTTCACTCTATCCCCTTCTCCTTTCTCACTTTTATTATCTCCTTTCTTCATTACACATTTGTTGGAAGATTTTTTTTTTCAAGACTGGGCTTCTCTGTGTAACAGTCCTGGATGTAGACCAGGCTGACCTTGAACTCACAGAGATCTCCCTGCCTCTGCCCCCTGAGTGCTAGGATTAAAAGCATGCACCACTACAATCTGGCTTTTACATGGCAAGCATTATAATAAACTCTGGGGTTAAACAAAATACCCAACATGGTATACTCACTCAGACTCAAAAAGGATTCTTTTTCCAGCAACTTTCAATCATTTTGAAGGTGTGTGATGGGAGGCTGTCTTTCAAGAGGCCAGAGACACAAGCCAACATGTATTACTGGAAAGTCTTGTTATAACCTGTCCTCCTACTGCTCACAAACTGAGTCTTCTGTTAATAGGATGTCTTCATATTCATCTCAAGTACAATTTAATTGAGGCAGTGCCTTTTTGTAGTGGATTCAATGGTGTGTACTTTGTGCATAGCCAATAGAGGGGGACATTTGAAGGAAAAGAAAGATTGATTTACTACCAAGAGTGTCTCCAACATACAAGTCATGTCTGAAATCCCACTGCTGCTCCTTCTCTTCCCTGCTGTGTGACAACATCTTGTGATTTTTAAAGCCCCCCAAGCAGTTCAGCATGTCCAGAAAGCTCGTGTGATCCTGGTAGGGAGGGTGTGTTGAGTTGGCAAACAGAAATGCCTTCCTTCTTTTTCCAGAAACACCAGAGAGAGTCCAGAGTAACCTAAGCCACACTGAAAACAGAATAAAACAAAGCACAAAGCAGACAGTGTAAAAAAAATAGTCTATGTTCAATATGCCAGTTCTGTGGTGATCTTTTGTTGTTATTATTGTTTTGTTTTGTTTTGCAGGAGTAGGCTACTTACTAAGCACATACAATAATAGCTGATCTTGAAAACATTATGCAAATGAGGGAATTCAATTACAAAGACCATATGTTACCCTTCAGAATATCTGAAGCATCTCAGACTAACCTATAGAGACATGGAAAGCATATTAGTGACTGCATGGGCTGGGAGTTGGGAGTGGGAGTAAGGGCCCTTGATCCTCATGGAAATACTCTATAATTGTATGTTGCTGGTGTTTGCTGCAAAACTCTGTGTATTCAGTAAGAGCCACTATGTTGCATGACTCAAATTGGTGGAATATATAGTATGTGAGTTGCATGACAATTAAGCACAAGCAATGCAATGCTGGATGATTCCAGGTTTATATTTCCTCAGATACTGAGTTGGGTAGGTCTCCAAGTTGCCTACAAAGGCCTCTTAAACTTGCTCCAAGTGTGGTTATTTTAGACTGGGAAGGGGTGTGTGTGTGTGTGTGTGTGTGAGAGAGAGAGAGAGAGAGAGAGAGAGAGACACAGAGAGAGACACAGAGAGAGAGAGAGAGAGAGAGAGAGAGAGAGAGAGAGAAGAGAGAAGAGAAAGAGAGTGTGTGAGAGACAGAAAAGAGAGAGAGAAGCTTAGGTATACAAGTATATAAAATAGGTAAACAAATCAAACATAAATAACTTTGATCATAAATTTATTTGAAAACAAGTCATTGACGGGCATATAATTTTGCCACATATTAAACATGAAAGCCCACATGTATGTTAATTGGGAGGATGTGCTTGTTTGCTCTTCCAGAAAGGATTAAACCCTGGCTGACTACTTCACATAGTCATATGGTCCTAAAACACCTGCAATACTTCTCAGGCTCAATCAATAATTCGTTTCATAATTGTCAATGGTGAGAATGCTGTTTTTCATGACATAGCACAAAACAATAGGTTAATGTTCACTATTATTTCATAAATTGTTGGAAATTCTGCCCTAATCCCAATCCTGAACTCAGCTAATGGTATTTTGAATGAAGTCAAATATTCTAAGAACAAGAAAAACTAAAGACATGCCTAGGAATATTGGTAGGAAAGTACTAGAAGTATTATTTTTCTGTGATTAAACCTTATGTTTTTGTAAGAGCAAAAAACCTTATACTTGGAATGAAATCACTACAGGTCTTAACATATAAAGTCTTTGACCTGAGCCAATGGATTTTAGGCAGTGTTCATTAGTGTTAAGTGGTGGAGGAGTCTACACAGTGCATTCTGGGTGCTCAGAACCAAGGCTGAGGTATAGTAACATTGTGGAACATGTATTCAGGCTGTCACAATACCTCATATTCATAATACATTTGATTTAAAATTAATTTTTATCATTTTGCAACCAGAAACCTTTGAGCATTGATTATTTTTGGTGGATGTCCATATTCAGTTATAAAGAAGCAGAAATGTCAGTTCACATAGTGAATGTCTTAAGCCACTTCCCTACCCCCACCATTGATAGACTTTTTGTTTCCTAAGGACTTCCTACACTGGGGCCATCCACAAGTTATCTCAATACACTCAAACTGCTGAAGGACAAGGAAATTGAGAGTAATCTACCCAATGGCAAAGCATGAGGGTCAATAGACCTTCTACTTGCTTGATTTTCATGGGTGTGTCACCAGGCATAACTTCTTCCCCTATCACTGTGGTATTATTAATTATTTCTTTGAATAGGCTATGCTCTTCTGAAACTCAAGCAGATCGGGGTTCTGGTGACACTAGTCGCGTTCACTCCTCCATCCTTTTGTTCATCCACCACCATACCGGCAGACCCACCCCCTTTTGTGCCAGGAATGTGCTGCCACTGGCACTATGCCCTACCCATACCCAGCAATAACCCCAGAGCAGAAGAAGGAGCTGTCTGACATAGTTAACCAAATTGTGGCTCCAGGCAAGGGCATCCTGGCTGCAGATGAGTCCACCAGAAGCATTGCTAAGTGGATGCAGTCCATTAGCACTGAGAACAAAGAAGAGAACAGGCACTTCTACTGCCAGCTGCTGTCGACTGTTGATGACCATGTGAACCTCTTTCACAAAATGTTCTACCAGAAGGCACACGGTGGACGTCCCTTCCCCCAAGTTATCAAGTCCAAGGGGGGTGTTTTTGGCATTAAGGTAGATAAAGGCATGGTACCCTTGGCAGGAACCAATGGTAAGACCACCACCCAAGGGCTGGATGGACTGTCAGAATGCTGTGCCCAGTATAAGAAGGATAGAGCTGACTTTGCTAAACGGTGCTGTGTGTTAAAGATCGGGGAGCATACTCCTTCAGTCCTTGCCATCATGGAAAATGCCAATGTTCTGGCCTGTTATGCCATCGTCTGCCAGCAGAATGGCATTGTACCCACTGTGGAGCCTGAAATTCTCCCTGATGGGGACCATGACTTAAAACGCTGCCAGTATGTAACTGAGAAGGTACTGGCCGCTGTGTACAAGGCTCTGAGTGACCACCATGTCTATCTGGAAGGCACATTGCTGAAGCCCAACATGGTCACCCCAGGCCATGCTTGTACCCAGAAATATTCCAATGAGGAGATTGCCATGGCAACTATCACAGAACTGCATTGCACAGTGCCTCCTGCTGTCAGTGGAGTCACTTTCCTGTCTGGAGGGCAGAGTGAGGAAGAGGCGTCCATCAACCTTAATGCTATCATCAAGTGCCCACTGCTGAAGCCATGGGTCTTGACTTTCTCTTATGGCCGAGCCCTACAGGCCTCTGCTCTGAAGGTCTGGGGCAGGAAGAAGGAGAACCTGAAGGTACATCAAGTGAGCCCTGGCCAACAGCCTTGCTTATCAAGGAAAGTACACCCCAAGTGGTCAGTCGGGAGCCGCAGTCAGCGAATCTCTCTTCATTTCTAACCTTATCTACTGAACAGGTGATCTAAGGCTGCCCCATCAACACTCCAGGCCCCCGCCTACACACTTGCTTTTGAAGAGGGGGCCTTCAGGCTTTCCCATCACTCTTGCTGCCCTCGGGACTGGTGTGGTGTTGTCTGTGAATGCTAATTCTGCTGTCTCTTCCAGCCCACTGCCAATAAACCATTTTCAAGAGGGGAAAATTATTTCTTTGGAAGGCATTGTTTATTTTTTCCTCACTTCTACTAGACAGAACTTCAGGTTCTCCTAGAGGGGAAAAAAAGGCCATTGTGTCTGAGTGATTGTTACTGAATCCATGTTGACTTTAGAGCTCTTCTTAGATATTTGATGTTTTATCCTCTTACTTTTGGTTCTCTTTCCCCCTCCTCCTCTTCTCCTCTTCCCCTTTCCCTCTTCCCCTATCCTACCACTTCCTTCCCTGTGGTGGCTTGAATGATAATGGCCCCATAGTTTCATGTGCTTCAATAGTTGGTCTCTAGTTGGTGGATCTGTTTGGCAAGGATAAGGAGGTGTAACCTTGTTGGAGAGGGTGTGTCATGGGGCATGGTGGCAGGATGGTGAAGTTGTGAGACTTAAAAAACCTCCCATTATCCCCAGATCAAGATGTGAGTTCCCAGCTGTTCCTGCCACCATGCTTTGTTCTGGCATCATTGACTCTAACCTCTGAAACTGTAAGCCCAATTAAAGCCTTTCTTTTAAAAGTTGAATTGGTAATGGTGCTTCGTCACAGTAACAGAAAGTAATTTGGGACATCTTCCTCCTCCTCTTCTTCTTCTGTTTTCAATCTATGATCCTCTTCAGTTTCCAGTATAGTAATCTGCTCCATTCGTATAATATTCCTTTTATTTCTTCAGTTTACAGTATAGTAACCTGATTCATTCATACAATAGTCCTTTTATTTTACATTTGCCCTCTTTAGTAATCACAGTGCCTTTTTTATCTATTGTACACTCGTAAATATTTAACTGTATTTCTAGCATGTCATTTTGTTGTGTATGTTTTTAAAATACAAGTGCATATATTTTTAATTACAGGAATTTTCTTATAACTGAATTAATTTTATGATTATTTTAGTCTCTTGCTTCTTGAGCACCATAAAAATGTGTCTAAATATCATTTATCATGTGACTTGGTCATATGTTTAAAGCAGTCATGTAAGATTAATCATGCTACTATAGCATAAGTTCTTTGAGAAAGAGCATATGGGTGTGATAATGAACCTCGAATATTGAAAGCAAGAACAGGAGAAGAAGGAGGGACAGAGTATGCTCGGCTCTTGCACACCTGCTTTCCTTAACTCCCGTCTATGAACTCTGGCAGTAGGTTGTATCTCTCTCTATTGCATCCACCCTTACTGCTGTGGCCTCCCTGCCTCCTGACCTGAGCATCCAAGGGTGTTGTAGGAATGACAGTGAATGTTTCCCATCACAGTCTATCTCTATTGATACAGTCAGCCCTCAAAGTATTTAGAAACAGATTGGCCATGCATAAGCCAAGTGTTTGCTGATAGCTCATTAGTCCCAGATGCTCAAGTTGTTAGGCATTATTTCTGACACCACCTCCCACAGATCTGTATCAAGGCACATTTGTGTAAACATCAGACAGCTTAAAGGAGATTGGGTAGAAATGTGACAAACATTGACATGTTGGATATTTTAATCAAATCATATTATTGATGGTTTTGTCTCAGTCTACTGTTGCTCACAAGGTATTGGTCATCAAGTAACCTAGGTCCTATCACTTTGAAATGGAAGGGTGTGTTCAGATTGGAAGCTATAGGTTTAACTGTCTCCATCTTCCTTAAAGCAGCAAATTCTAACAGTGATGGGTACAAGAGTTTGAACTGCATTTTCAGAGGGAGATAGCAATGCCCTTTTACTAGCTTTTATTTTCTTTCAAATTCAAATTTATATATTCTGATTCTTTGAGCTGTCTTTTTTTATCAGTGAGCACACAGTGATTGTATTAGGTGAATTTTCTAGAGGCACAAAGTCAATAGAATGTGTACATACCATCGAAGACGACTTTATTAATTGATTTGCATGATAGGGGTCAGGAGTCCAGCAATGGTTGCCTATATGCTGGGCTGAATTGGTTGAGAACTGAGTTGCTCTTCAGTCTGTGAACTGGGTGCCTCAGAAGTTTTAATCTGAATGCCTGGAGGTCCCTGGAGAATTAATAATATTAAATCAACATGGGAATGCTAACATCAGTATAAGATCACAGTGGCAGCAACAGGCACTATCACTAAGAAAGAAGAAAAGAATCAAGAAACTACACTTCATTTCTTCTCTGACTAACATCTCTTTGTTGCTTGTTACCAAGTACACCAGGATGACTGGCCTAAACTTCTGTTTGCTGTCTTGTAGACCACTGAGATCACAGATGTACACTAACACACCCAGCTTAAGGTGAGTTCTGAGGATTCAAACTCAACTCACACTCAGTGACACTAAGTCCTTGTACAGTTACTATTCTACACTGATAAAATACTGTGGTCAAAAGCAACTTAAGAAAGTTTTGGTTCCAGAGGGAAAGAGTCCATTACGGTCAGGGAGGCACAGTAGAGATGGAAGTTTCTTTTCCACCTTGTTTCACAGCTGTTAAGTACCAAAGAATCACACAGAAGCTTATATTAACTATAAACTGTTTTGTCTATTAGCTCAGGCTTATTATTAACTTGCTCTTACAATTTAAATTAATCCATAATCTTGTCTATGTTTAGCCGCATGACTTGGTACCTTTTCTCAGTAAGGCATTCTCATCTTGCTTTCTCTGTTTCTATCTGGTTATTTACTCTTTACCTTTCCTTTTTCCAGAATTTTCTTAGCCTGATTGAACTGCCTATACTTTCTGCCCTGCTACTGGCCAAACAGTGCTTTATTAAACTAATATTAGTGACAAAGCTTTACAGTGTACAAGAGCATTATCCCATGGCATTTCCCCTTTTTTCTTTTCAAAACAAGAATTTTGAATCTAATCTCCTTTGTTTAGCTTTTTTCCTGACTATTAACCATAGCAACTTGTAATCAACACTCTAAACAAAGACAAACATTCATAACTCATTTTTGGGAATGTGGGCATAGTTTTCTCAGCTATCTCCTACAGATTCAGGGTGTTGATAATCTTATGCGCACCCAAGAAGAATTTAGGATTGTGGTAAAGTCCTTACTGGAGTTTTGTGTGAGACTGGATCATCTCACCCAGAAGTCTTGAGGCTGTCCTAGATGTATAATTCAGAGGAAACTGCAACAGAAATGCTCTAAAATGTTGGATCACCTGGGCCATCCATTCCCATTGAAGATCTTTGAGGGGTATTCTTTGATCAAATCTTATTTTCCTTAACCCAGAATGAACCCACAGCCTCTCATTTCCTGTGGAAACAAAAACAAATCCTCTTCTCCAAAGTAAAATATCTTTTGACTTAAATTTTGAAGTCAAGGCATTTTCAAAATTTATAGGTTGGATTAATCCATCAATATTTATAATCAAATGTCTTTTAATCCTTCCTCAGAAGTCAAACAATTCAAAGACAACACAATAACATATAATATCCAAACTTTCTGTGTATTTTCCATCTTTGGGTGGCTTTTTTCTTACTCCATTTATTTTTCCTCTCCCAAGCCTTCATATATTTTTCAACACACAGTAAACACATTAGATTTTTTTCATCTGAATCTGTCTTTACTGTATATCTCTTTCTTTTTCTGACCACATGAGTCTTTAATATGCTAAACAGCATGACTGGGATTAAAGTGACAGCTTCTGTGGCTGGCTCTGCCCATTCTTTGACCTCTTGAGAGTCTAACCTAATGGTGGAACCATTGGCAGGAGCCATGTTTATTGCCACAACTCAGTTCATGCCACCAACCAAGAAGCATGCTGCCAGCTTCTCATAAATATCATTTAAGTGTTTGGCAGCAGGGCCTCTTAACAGAACCACACAGTTTTTGCTGTTAACACAGAGTCAGGAAGCCTTTCTCAAAGGATGCATATCTCTGCTTGCTGCCAGCAAACAGAGCCTACCGGAGTAAAGACAGCTACCAAAAAGCTGCATTTGATTCTGTTCTTGTCTGTCTAGAATCCTTTTATTTAAGCTTTCTCGTGTGTGTGTGTGTGTGTGTGTGTGTATGTGTGTGTATGTGTATGTGTGTGTGTGTAAATTCTTGCCAAACCTTTAAGCACCATTTGTAGATAGAAGTTTGTGTGCTGCCTGGTCCTGCAACCATTCAGTCCCAAAGAAACACACAGAGGCTTTTATTAATTATAAACTGTTTGGCCTATTAGCTCAGGCTTCTTATTAATTAACTCTTACAACTTAAATTAATCCATAGTTCTTGTCTATGTTTAGCCACACTGCTTAGTACCTTTTCTCAGTAAGACATTCTCATCTTGCTTCCTTTGCATCTAACTGATTACTGACTCTTTGCCTTTCCCCTTCCCAGAATTCCCAGTCTGGTCATCCCACCTATGCTTCCTGCCTGGCTACTGATCGATCAGCATTTTATTAAACTAATATGAGTGACAAATCTTTGCAGTGTACAAGAGCATTCTCCCACAGCAATATAGCAGCAGACAGTAGGCATGACAACAGGAGCAACAAGCTGAGAGATCATACCCCACCTATAAGCAGAAAACAGAGAGCATAAACAGAAAGCAGGGAGAAGTTATAAAATTTCAAATACCACACACCCATGATGTACTTTCTCCAGCAAGACTATATCATCTCCTCTAAAAAGCTGTGCCAACCAGAGACCAAATGTGCCATTGTCAGAGCCTAGAGAGGACATTCTCCTTCGATGTTCTAGAGCCCTTCTACCCACTGGTTCATTCCCCAATCCTAGTTAATCTATTTGATCTCATATTTTACTTCAATTTTTTACACATTCCATGATCTATACAATTACTCATTTTGTATTTGACTCCTTACATCTTTTATTTTCATTCTTAACTTCATGTTGGTGAGTATTTTAATGGATTGA